GCCTCTCAGGCACTGCCTCTCTGCAGTCTGCCTCTCAACTGGCATCTGTCTCCAGCTTCCGGTGTGTCCCCTAGCCCAAAGTTTCTCAACCATAGCACTTTCAATGTTTTGGGCCAGATAATTCTTTGTTGTGGGGCATGGGAGTAAGCTGTCCTGTGTATTGTAGGATGTTTGGCAACATCGCTGGCCTCTACCCATGAGATGCCAGTAGCACCTACTTCCCAGTTGTAACAACGAAAATGTCTCCAGATATTGCCAAATGTCCCCAGGGACTTTCATCCCAGCTGCACATTCAAATCATCTACACAGTCTTTTAAAAAAAGACTCGTGTGGGCCCCACTTTAGGCCAAGTGTTTCGGATTAAATTGTATCCCCCGGCCCCCAAATATGTGTTGGAATCCTAACCTTTATACCTGTGGATACAATCTAAACTAATATAGTGTGATCAACTTCCATAATGCAATCAAATGTAATATAATCAACCAGTTAAGGTCACATCAGTGTAGGGTGGATCCTAAACCTAATCACTTCTGAGTTACATAAGGAGAAGCATAGCCACAGGTGCGCGTGTGCACGTGTGCGCATGGTCACACACACACACACACACACACACACACACACACACAGAGGGAAAGACAGACAACCTGTGAAGATTGTCTACAAGCCAAGAAACCAAGAAATGTCCGGGGCTACCAACCAGGAAGGAACGGATACAGTCAAGACCCTGATTTGGACTTTTAGCCTCTAGAAGTATGAGAAAATAAATGTCTGTCCCTTAAAGCCACCCACTAGGTAACTAAGATACTAAGTAAGTCAGAAACTCAGGATGATGCTTTGATATCAATATTTGTAAAAGTGCAGCCAGGGCTGAGAACCACTGATACCCTCTGGTTGAAATCATCTTTCTAGCATATAAACCGACTCATTTTACTCATGCCTGATTTTGAAACTTCAAACAGCTTCTCATTGAAGAGCATGGAACTCCTTAGTGTGGCTTCTGAAGCCCTCCAATTCTGGGCCCTGCTTCCCTACTAGCCTTTCCATCCACCAATCCCCAACCCATCTCCTGCCCTCCCCGGGCCAGCTATTCTAGCCTCTTTTGAGTCTCCCAAACCACCATGCTATTTCATACGTCCATGTTTTGCATTTGCCTAAAATGTCACTCATCATCCCATGCTCCTGGCAAAAGACGACTAGTTTTTCATACCTCAACTCAGCTGCAAACCCCGTTAAGAAACTTAGCCTGATTCTCCCCACCCTGAGCAGAACTGACCACTCCCTCCTTTGCATTATATAAAAACCAGAATCCAAATACCAAACCAGTCAAGCTGATTCGGACTTATGGCAACCCCATGTGCTATATGTTTCCTCTAAAATGTCAGCCACAACCTACAGAACTCTCCATAATCCTTATTTATACGTCAGCCTATTTCTATTAGACTCTAAGCTCCCGGAGGACAGGGGCTGGGTCTTAATCTCCTTTGTCCCCAGCGCCTAGCACACAAGTGCTCCGTATGTATGTGTATTGAATGAAAGAATGATACAAGCAACAGATAGCACACTCTGCCCTTTTTTCCTCCATATTTCTGTTTCTGTGTTCCCTTCCCAAGCAAAAAGAGATGCCAGCAGCCACACCAGAAAGCAAAGGATTCCAACAAAGTGGCTTTCCATGTGGTACCAAGAAAGTCACGCCCACAGCCAATCCCCAGGTCAGTGGCAACTGGTACTGGCTGGGATGGTGATCTGGGAATCACAGAAGGGGAATGGGCCAGAATCAGAACAAGAGCCTATCTCCCTACCCACCCCACCTCCGCACTCCCCCACCCCTTGCAGGAGGCTCCTCGGGCCACCGTGTGTCATCTGTCATCATCATCCAAATTCTGCCCAAACCTTGTTCACATCCCTACTCCCTGTAGTCTTCCCCAAGCCCATCTGTTTCCCAAGGTCCAATGGGAAAGCAGAGGACTTTAAGAATTGAATTTTCACCTCATCCCAGATGGCCAGGGCTGCTGGACAAGAGCCCCGGTGCCGGAGCCCACCGCAGGCTGTGCTCATGTGCATCATCAGCTAACTCCCTTGGACAAGGCCCAGGATAAGTGAGCTTTCTGCCCCTTTCTGCCACAGCTTACACCAGCCTAGGGTCCCTCCCTGGTGGGCTCCAGTCACCAGGTCTCCCACAGAAGTCAGAGGCGGGCAACCCTGGGGCCAGCCAGGCGTCTCTCCCCCGGCGCTGCCTCGAGCCTGAGCTGGAGGCTGTGGTATGAGACCCTGGGCAGCCACAGGGGGAAAGAAGGGCCATCAACCACATCCCTCCCCTCTCCCCTGTGAGAAGCCCACATTGTGCAGACAGCTGGAGTTTTAGGGCACAGGAGGACACCAAGTGGAGTCTCTTAGCTCAGGGAAAGGAAGAAAAATTCCACTGATTCCTCTCACTCACACCGGTGGTGTTTTTAATTGGCAAATCTGCCCATGTCACTTGCCTGTTCCAAATTCCTCAATGGCTTCGGATGGGATGAAATCAAATCAGCTTCAAAAAGTTCAAAAGACCAGTTATGAGCCCACCTGGCTCCTGCCTACCTTTCCAACCTCCTGATCCCTGGTACTTCAGACTCAAGCCATACAGAGCCACACTTCCTCGAACCCATCTGATTTCCTGGACCTCTGGGCCTCGGCACATACCCTTTCTTCTGCCTGAAGCCCCCTACCCATGCTTCAATTCTCAGGTCTGCATCCCCCTGGGCACACTTGGTCAGCCCTTCCCACAGCCTCCACACTCGGCCCTACAGCATGGAGAAGCTCAGAGTGGTATCACATTAGTTGATACATGAGGGCCAGCCCTATATTTTTCATACTGCCTGTGTGACTGGGGCAAGTCGCTTAACCTCTCTGAGCCTCAGTGTGCTTCTCTTTAAAATGATGATGCCAACTGCAGTCTTATGGAATAGAGGAGACAATGGAAGCCCCAGGGCCCATCTAGGGCACAAGATGCTTCATAAATCTGCACTGAATGAGTGTGACTGACAGCTGCACTCTTGTCCACATTGCTTTGGTTGAGGCCTCTCTCCAGAAGGCTAGACACCTCGTTCAGCTGGCTCGCCTTAACGGCCAGAAGGCTGAAGCAAAGGAGGGGAGGATGGATGGGAGAATAGTGATGGCTGGAGTAAGGAGCAGAGGCTGGATGGAGGAGAGTAATGGCTGCAGTAGAGGAAGGGAGGTCGGAGGGGAGAAAGGGAGGCTGGGGTGGAGGAGAGGAGGTTGGCTGGAGGAGAGGAGGCTGGGGTGGAAAAGAGGAGGCTGGGTGAAGGACAGGAGGCTGGAGTGGAAGAGAGGAGACTGGGTGGAGGAAAGGAGGCTGGGGTGGAGGAGAGGAGGCTGAGTGGAGGACAGGAGGCTGCACGATGAGAGGAAGCTGGGGTTGAGGAGGGTGATAGCTGGATGGAGGAGGGGACATGGGGGAGGCAGGAAGGCTGGATGGAGGAGGGGAGGCTGGGGTGAAGGCAGGGAGACTGGATGGAGGAGAGGAGGCTGGAGTGGAAGAAGGGAAGCTGGGATGGAGTAGAGGAGGCGGGGGTGGAGGAGACGGAGGCTGGATAGAGGAAAGGAGGCTGGAGACCAAGACACCAGTCAGATGGTGGAGGCAAAGAATGGGAAATCTACTAGACAACACTCATGTTGAAAAAGAATGCCTGGGATTCCAAAAGCAAACCAAATGTCCCCAGACTCTCTGAGCCTCCAGGCCAGAGCTGTCCTGCCTGGGAGAAGAAGTCAGCCCTGGAATAAGTCCTGGGAGATGATTTATGGCTTTCGGATATCGGGCTTCAATAGTTTCTTCTGCTCTTAGGAGCTGGTGCTTACGATATAGGCTCTTGAGGTTCTCTCTGAGTGGGACAGTGTTCCGCTTCTCTGTTTTATCTGTGATCCTTGCCCCTCTTCTACCCTGGATGTGAGCACAAGCTTGAAGTAGGTGGACCTAGGGTGACCAACCATTGCAGTGTGCCCGGGATGATCCTGGTTTTAATGTTAGAGGTTCCGCGTCCCGGGGAAAATCAGGCCCAGGCAAATCAGGACAGTTGCTCCCCGGCCGGTCTAATTTGCTGAGTTCCAAGGGCTCGGGGCAGGGCCTGGCTTGTCACAAAGCATGCAGCTAATTCTACTCAAGAAGATAAGCCTAAGAAGATGGACCCTGTGCTGTGAAAAGTGGCGTGGATGGGAGGAAGGGCGGACAAGTGACCTGAGACCTAATCCTTTGTGGATCTCTTCCAACACCAGTTCTTTCAAAAGCCCTGAACAAAATGAGCGACTCTGTCCCCAAATGCATCACCCCACAAGGTGCATTCCACTGCCCACACGTTCACCAGGGAAGGACAGCCCGCTCCTGGCCATTGGGTCTGGGCAGGCATTTGCGACAGAAAGGGAGAGTCCCGACTCCAGCTGCCAGCACAGAGGGTCCAGGATACACAGGTACACATGCTCCAAGGAGGGATTTTCAGCATTGGAAGTGGAGCGGCCTTCTATCCTACAAATCGAATGATTTCATGGTCAACGTGTACATACCACTACCGCCCCCCCCCCACACACACACACACTTACTTCAAAACACTGCAGTTTGGGATCAGAAAAATGGCCAAAATGTAGGCAGTAATTCATTTAACATCTGGAGGTCTTACAACAATAGCAACAGACTGTCTTAAAGCCCTCACAGTCTCGGCTGAACTGAGTAACAGGTTGTTTTCACCGTGCAGGAGATCACCCAAGCATCCCCCGTGGCTTCACGTTCTCCACTATAAACAGGTTACATGGAAATCTAATCGTTACAGTCTTTAGGAGACACAAAGACACAGCAAATAAGTCAATTTAAAAAAATCAAACGGCACTAACACATCAAAAGAGATGCCTCTGACTCCTGCCCACGCGCGCTCCGAGCCTCCCCGACATCTCCTCGGACACTTCCCAGAGCTGGCTCCTTCCCTCCTCCCGGGTCCAGGTGCGGGTCGGGTTACCTTTTGGAGAAAGGCCATCCTCGGCCTGTACTGCTGGCCTTGGTGTCGGATTGTCATCCTGGACCCTGGGTGAATTCAGACCCAGAAAACGAACGGGAGAGAAATGGAAAGACCCCCCCCAGTGCACCAGCCAGCTGGGCTCCCACGAGCCCTGGGCGTCGAAGGGAGTCGGCTGGCGGGGGTGCTGCTGCCCGCGGCGTTCCTCCACTATCTCTCGGCACCGACCCCCTTGGGAAGCAGCTGGAATCCGCGCCAGCCAATCAGCGTGCGGCTTCGCGGACTTATTAGCATGCGCTGCGCTTGTGCCCACCTGCCAGCAGGGGGCGGCGTCCGACTCCGCCGGGACGCAGGAGCCTCAGGTGTGACCTGCGTTTCAGGGACCTGGGAGGGGGAGGATCTTGCGCAGGGAGGGAGAGTTTTAACCTGGGGCAGAGGGATGTGTAGAAATGAGACAAGGTGGCGTCACTAATAAAGCACAGTGGGAAACATCCCAGCTCTGCCACTAGCCAGCTGGGCGGCATTGGGCAAGTTTCTTAAAATCTTTAGGTCTCAATTTCCTTATCTGAAAAAGTAAAAATAAAAGATGGGGTAAAAGTAGCCCACAGAAGGGTTGTTATAATCGTTTAAGGGGGAAATGTGAACCACAGTGCTTGGCTCTCAATAAATGTTTAGGAAAAAAATCATAGGTGGTGCCATTTTGACTGACTAGTATCGGAATTGGTGAGAGATTGGTTAAAAAGAGGAAAGGAAGGAAGTGAAGAAGGACGGGTGGAAGGTTGTAGTCTAACCCTCAGAGTACTGGGCTAAGTTCTAGAAGCCATACTTTGAGAAGAGGGTCCCAGGTGAGGATCTGAGAGGAGGGTGACCAGGAGGATGAGAGGCCTTCTCAAAGAAACAGCAGCCAGATAGCCTAGAGAAGAAAAGCCTTAGGAGGGGAAGGATGGCTGCCCTCAGTTACCTGAAAAGCTGCACATAGCAGAGCGCTTTGGCTTGTTCTGCATGGGTGGCTCCTGAAGGTGAACTAGAACCTCTGAGAGGAAGCTATTGAGAGGCTGCTTTCTAATCTTTGGGGTGAATGGGCTTCATTGTGAAGGGGAGAACCCCCCACCTCTGGAGGTTTTCAAGCAGAAACGAGGCAACCTCTAGGTGACTAGACGCAAGGGCCATAGACTTAGATGGTGGGGCTGAGATCAGAACCCCGGCGGTCTTACTGCAAAAGCAAGGCTTTTAGTCCATGGGATAACTGTAGAATATGGTTAGTGTCTTAGTTATCTAGTGCTGCTATAACAGAAATACCACAAGTGGATGGCTTTAACAAAGAGAAATTTATTCTCTCACAGTCTAGTAGGCTACAAGTCCAAATTCTGGGTGTCAGCTCCAGGCGAAGGCTTTCTCTGTCGGCTCTGGAGGAAGATCCTTGTTATCAATCTTCCCTGGACAAGGAGCTTTTCAGCACAGGGACCCCACGTCCAAAGGACACGCTGTACTCCAGGAGCTGCTTTCTTGGTGGTATGAGGTCCCCTGTCTCTCTGCTCAATTCTCTCTTGTATCTCTCAAAAGAGATTGGCTCAAGACACAATCCAGTCTTGTAGATTGAGTCCTGCCTCATTAACATAACTGCCACCTATCCCACCTCATTAACATCTTAGAGGAAGGATTTACAACACATAGGAAAATCACCTCAGACGACAAAATGGTGGACAATCACACAATACTGGTAATCAAGACCTAGCCAGATTGATACACATATTTTGGGGTTACACGATTCAATCCATGATAGTTAGGAATTAATGATATACCACTTGTAACATCTATTCTGTCATGATCGTATGTGAGTATATAGCTCTCCCATTGTTCCTTAACTTTTCAGACAATTTTGCTTATTTATATATGGTTTCCCTGACTAGATTACCCAGGATGTTTGAGGGTTGACTGCATTCCAAATACAACAAAATTTGATTGAGATCTTTTAAACATCAACACTTTTTCAGAGCAATGAATGACATAGAGGGACAAGTTGTTTCCAAATACTGGTAACAATCTAAATGCTCATCATCAGGTGAATAGATAAATAAATTGTGATTTATTCATACAATGGAATACTATTAGCAATAAAAAGTGACAAACTACCAATGTACACACATCACGGATGAATCTCAAAAACATTACGTTAGCAAAAGATCTAAGACACTCCACTGGTCCCACCCTGTCTGGAGCAAGGGGGAATGAAGAAAACCAAAGACACTAGGGAAAGATCAGTCCAAAGGACTAATGGACCGCAACTACCACAGCCTTCACCAGACTGATTCCAGCACAACTGGATGGTGCCTGGCTACTACCACCGACTGCTCTGACAGGGATCACAATAGAGGGTCCTGGACAGAGCTGGAGAAAAATGTAGAACAAAATTCTAACTCACAAAAAAAGATCAGATTTACTGGTCTGACAGAGACTGGAGAAACCTTGAGAGTATGGTCCCCAGACACCCTTTTAACTCAGTACTGAGGTTACTCCTGAGGTTCACTCTTCAGCCAAAGATTAGACAAGCCCAAAAAACAAACAATAATACACACATATATGAGACTAAATGGGCACACCAGCCCAGGGGCAAGGACGAGAAGGTAGGAAAGGGCAGGAAAGCTGGACAAATGGAAATGCGAAACCTAAGGTCGAGAAGGGGAGAATGTTGACGTCGTAGGATTGGCAACCAATGTCACAAAACAATATGTGTATTAATTGTTTAATGAGAAACTAATTTGCTGTGTAAACCTTCATCTAAAGCACAATGTAAAAAAAAAAAATCATGTTAGCAAAAGAAACCAGAAGCAAAAGAGAGAGTACCTACTGTATGAACAGTTATATGAAGTTCTAGAAGACACAAAACTAAATTATGGCAATAGAAATCTGATGGGGTTTGGGGGCATAAGGGAACTTTTTTGAAAGATGGAAATGTTCTATATCTTGATGGATAAGGTGGCTACACAGGCAGATAAGTTTGTCAAAACTCATCCAACTGTACAATTAAATTTAGGGCATTTCGTAGTGGTTAAGTGCTACAGCTGCTAACCAAATGGTTGGCACTTTGAATCTGCCAGGCAGTCCTTGGAAACTCTACGGGGCAGTTATTCTCTGTCCTATAGGGTCGCTATGAGTTGGAATCAGCTCGACGGCAATGGGTTTATACCTCAATGAAAGACTGACCAGAAAAGCAAGTATTATCTTGCAATTTGGCAGAGGGACATGTACTAAAATCAAATCCTCGTAGTTCCGGCAAAATGGCGTTCTAGGCAGAAGCACCATGCCGTCCCTCCACAGCAAAGATCC